GACGCACCCGCAATAGAACCAGATCGAGCCAGCGTGCGATTGATGCTTTCTATCTGGTAGATTATTGAAGTAGATATTTCATGGCTGTCAACATCAAATCTCACGGCGCCCGGTAACAAGGCCGGAAGAACTTGTAAATTGGAACTGACAGAATGAGGGAGAGAGTGTTGAGCCATTTTCAAGACCTCTGCCAATAGCAAGGTGGCTTTGCGTCTAAGAGTCTGGTTTGACTCGACTTCAATAAGAGTCGACAGCGCCTTGATCAAGTCTGCCTCGAGCAGTGTGGCCAAAACCAAGGCGGAGAAGTGCACAGTAAGATCAAATCTATTCCTGTCATTTTCGTTGTAAAAGCGTAACTGTTTTCTGTCTGCTTCTGAGCGGAGGTTTGATACTCTGCCATACGTTGTCAGACGTCGGCCAGCAAGGAATGATGAGGACCAGGAGGGTGGTTTGATTCGAAGAGCCTCAAATAGCAGTTCCAATACCAGCTCTCGAGCTTGGGGATCAGGGTATTTTAGAGATTCGAGTAAAGATCGAAGCGGATGTGATTTATCCCTGGCTAAGACAAGGAGACCAGGCCACGTCTTCAGCATTGCTGAAATAGCTTTGGCAGAGCATTTTAAGCGCCCCGGGTGAATGTCTGAAAAGGAGTCTGTGAATGGAGTCAGGACCGCTTCGAGCTCACGGCCTTTTTGGAGGTGTTTTCGTCTGTGAGGAGTGTCCATGATGTGTAGAAAGCTTCCTATCAAGCTTTCCGAGGCTCCGAAAGTCCCCTCAGCCAGCGCATCGTGTAGAGCGCTCATACCTCCCGCATATGATAAAAGGGCTGGGTCTTTGGTCAATATTTCAGCCAGAGTCATGATGGAAATATTCCTCAAGCGATCCTCTTGATGCTCGGCAACAGACACTATAGCTCGGACAACAGCTCGGGAGATCTCATGGACTCCATCTTTAACGTCCAGAAAAGCTCTAACGAATTTTAATGCCTGCTCTCTCTCGATACTAGCTTTGCTTTCCTTCACCAAGGACAAAGTCACGAGCTCATCCGTATGTAAGGTTCGGATAGTCCTGATCGAGGCTCTATCTGCGATGGCATACCGTGTCAAGCGGTAACCAGCCGCTACGACTTCTCTGCTGTCGCTCAATAACATCATCTGGACTCGTTGGCCAAAGACGAACCATTCAAGGTCATATTTGAGTGTAGGGTGCCGCTTGAATAGATCAACCAAGCTGTTTGCCCTCTCCACATAGTAATCCGGTGCCATCCCTTCAATTTCCAAGGCCTGTAAAGTTTCTGCCAGTACATATGTAGGAGACTCGGTCTCGCCATCTGCATCCTCTACCTCGCCATCAACAGAGTCTGTACCTCGGGATGGCGAGCGCATTGAACTACCACGGAATAACCCTGATAATCGGCTCCGAGGCGGAGTCGACGGATGCTGCGCGCGATATAGCTCCTCCTCGAGTTCATGATGGAGCTGTGCGAGTTTTCGATTCGAAGAGCTCAATTCCGACTCCACCCTTAGCCTTTGCTCTTTTGTTTGTTTTAGATTCTTGGCCAATAACGCTTCCAGCATATTTTCCGTGCCCATTTTAATCTTCAACTCCTTGGCGATCTTATCTCGAATGGCTGCCTGGCGCTGTTCCGTTTTGGCGGTAGCCTCGTTCTCTTCGGCAGTATTAGCGACCCTGGGAAACGGGAATCCGGTGTCAGGACGAGGAGTGACGCTACGCGAAGTATTCATGCTCTTGAGTTCGGAACTGAAGCTCCCAGGCTGCGCAAATGGCGCCAATGAGGCCCCGCGGGTGCTGATGGAGCTGCTCCCGCCTGAGGCAGAGCGACCATTGCGAGTCGACTGTTGTGAGGCGCCATCATTCCACGTCGCGGCAGCTGCATTATCCTCTTGGCTGTGTGCAATTGACGTCTTCCTCCCATCACCGAGCGCTCGATGTTGAGTCGGTGTCGCCGAGGTCCCAGAACTGTGCCCTGACGCCATGGGTTGTCACCTCCATTCGACGGCAGTCAACGCGTGTTTTTCACCTGGCGACCAAAGGGCGACGGTCGCATCGATATTCGTGCTGCTTGTGGTAAACTATCATCAAAATCGAGTTCTTGGGAGGTCGCGGGGGTTCTATTAGTTCGTCCAGGTGGCGTTATATCATGGAAAGTGGGCTGTGCCTGCTGCGAAACGGTACGGATGTCAGACTGGAGACTTAGTGAGAAAAGGGTGTCGAAAGGTGTCCCATCGCTGTCGGGAGCTGGAGAACAATAAACAACAGCCTCAGAGTTCCGAATCGAACATGACAAAATAGAATCCTCGCTAGGATCAACGAGGCCGTGATCGTATACAGAAAGAGGATTCACGTTCCTGGGCGGGTGCCTCGTTCCTCCCTGTCCACATCGGGCTTGGCGCTGGTCTCCGCATATCAGACACGATTTCCATTATCGTATTTGTTTACAAGTGTATATACTATGTATTGACTCTATATTTATCTCCCTGGAAACCTTAACTACAGCCATAAGAATTGAGGCTCTTGTGAGGCTCCAGTTGCTATATATAGAGACATGCATACCGACTGGATCCAAGAACTTGGTGTCAATATTGGGCCCTAATGTTTTAACCACTTTCACGTGAAGCACTAACGAGCAGAAGTCTATTCACTTACACATGTAGCCTAGCCACATGTACAACAATGAAATTCCCCGTTCAAAATTTGGAATACCTCGCACTCGTTATCCAAATCCCAGATTGAAGTCTATTGGGACGGATATAGCATTTCTTAACATACCCGTAAACCCGCACCACATTTTATATCCGCAACGCCTAACTATAACGCTGAATCCTTGACTAATTAAACTTATTGGATCATGCGTGATTATCGTTGCCCCAATCGTATTAATTACCCCAGGATCTAGCATCGGCTTTGCTCGTAAATCCATACTGTCTCGCGAATTCGACACCTAAGTCCGACGCATATGTCCGCTGTTCACACATTTGATCACTGTGGAGTGATAATTTCCAGCTTTTTTGTCGGCGAGAGTCTGATTAACCCCGAGATATATTTTTTGAGGACGTGGTGCTACTTGTTAAAAATGGGTTGCTCGGAGTGTGGAGGGCAAAATGTGCGTGATTATCATCATCTCGGATTGTGGAGAGCAGGAGGGGGGATTTTGAGTTTAGGGAGTTATAAAAGGTACTTTTACGCAAAGATAGCGAATTATATTTAATCCTAAATACGTAATAACTATTTTTCATCTGCCATTTCCAAAATTACATGTACCAGTCCTTGTGGTATAGACGCCTGCGTCCAAAATGACTTTCATCAATTACGATGACAAACAAGTTGTGCCTCTCTGGATCAACGGCGAGGCCAGCCCCCTGAATGCAGAACGATTCTTCGAAGTCGTCAATGCGCAGGAAAACAAAACCGTCCATTATGCCCAAGGAGCCAACGAGGCCGATGCTAAAGCCGCGGTTGACGCTGCTGCCGCGGCGTTTCAATCCTGGAGCCAAACATCCTACAGTGACCGAAGGGCACTGCTGCTCAAAGTAGCAGATCTCATAGAACAGCGTGCTGAAGAAATAGCTCGAATGCAAGTGCTGGAAACATCGTGTGCTCCGGCCTTTGCTAGCTTCTTGCCGAGACTCACTGCGCCGGTCCTCCGCGAGATTGCCAGTCAGATATCCAACTGTTTAGCGGGGTCTGTGTGTCCAACTCAGACCAATGATACATATGCTTTTGTAACTAAGGAGGCTGTCGGGCCTGTCCTGGTTATCTCGCCCTGGAACAGCCCGACCATTTTAGGCTCCCGAGGGGTTTCATCCGCACTGGCAGCAGGGTGCACGGTCGTTCTCAAGGGCTCTGAGCTGTGTCCAGCGACATATCGGCTGCTCGTCTCTGTCTTTGAAGATGCCGGGCTGCCCAAAGGGTGCTTGAACTTGGTGCAAGCTGGTCGTTCCGAGGCAGCAGCCGTCACCGAGGCAATCATTGCGCATCCACAACTGCGCAAAGTGGAGTTCATAGGTAGTGCCGGTATTGGTAGTGTTATTGGCCAGATTGCTATGAAATATTTGAAGCCTGTTTTCATGGAGCTCGGCGGCAAAGCCCCTGCAATCATTACACGAAATGCCAATCTTCCCAAGGCTGCGCAGCTCTGCGCCTTCGGGGCATTTATTCACCATGGACAGATTTGCATGTCGACAGAGAGAATCATTGTTGTCAAGGCTGTGGCGGATGAGTTCACACGTTTACTCAAGGAAGCAGTCGAGAAGGAGTTTCCTGACGGCGCTGGCTCAGCAGTAACAAAGGCGTTTTCTGACAAAGCACACGCCTTGCTTGAACAAGCACATCAAAACGGCGCCAAGTTCCTCGTTGGCGATAATTCGTACACCGGAACTCAGAAATCGGGCCTGCGGCCAACCATCGTCACCGACCTGGGCCCTGACGATCCACTCAGGGACACTGAGACGTTTGGCCCTTCTGCCACATTGTACGTTGTCGAAGACGAGGAGGAAGCCATAAAGTTGGCAAATGACACTAAGACCGGGCTGGTCGCCTCAATTTGGACAGACGATGCCATGCAGGGCTTGGATATGAGTAAAAGGTTGCAATGCGGCAGCGTTCACATCAACAGTACCACACTCAATGATGAGCCTACGTCTGCAATCACAGGAACTAAGGGCAGTGGCTGGGGGAGTAACAGTGGTGCTTTTGGGATCAATGAGTTTTTAGTACACAAGACCATCACTTTACGGAAATCGGATGCTCCTATTGCGTTCAAGTGATCTTGGAGAATTACGGACAAATTAGCACGCTATAGAGCTGTTGAATGTATTCAAGCTATGGCTTGGCGAAATTTACGCCGCATACTTAGTATCAAGTCGTTGGCCTATGCTGTATCAAAAAAATAAAGATAAAAATAAAAATAAAAAAAGTACTAATGTGCACGTGCAAGTAATCCTCAACGCTCCACTCTCTACTACATGGGCGATCAGCAAGGTGCTATAGCTCAGTGGTAGAGCTTTCGGCTGCAGTTCTCTTATGAAGAGGATGTTGTTTCCGAAGGGTCCATGGATCGAGTCCGTGTGGCACCTAATCTTTCTTTTTGTTTTTTCTCGCGGAGCGCAAGATCACCCATACCAGCTATGAGAAGCTGGTATCAGACCCTGATTCGGCAGGGCTGGTTGCTGATTTTATGGTACGCATATGACTGCTAGGGCAGTTTAAGGCAGTCCAAGACAGACGCACGCAGCTAGATGACTCTGAAGCAGGGTCAGACAGCGGAGAAGAGCATTGATATAGAAGACTGTTCAGCACGAAGCTCGTGGGCCATGGGGGCAGCCCTATGGTGCAGGGTTGATATAAACCCCAGGCACTCTCCCGAGGCCCAGCGTACACAACGATCCGTGGAGACGGCGGTTCACCTTCATTTATATATCTCCTTTGTACAGTACTGTTTTTAATCTGCTTGATTGGTTGGTTTTCTGCTTTACCGGTGTTCCAGGCGTATATAGGTAGATAGGAACGCTGGCTCCTCGGAGCCCAGCTCCCCCGGCATAGCGGCCATAGTAAAGACACGCCGAAAGGGTATGAATACTATTACTACTACCACAACACACAAAAATGGTTTCTCATCACCCACTTAAATCATCAATCAGGTACAATTTGGAATTGATGCCATGTATCTATTATTACACCAAGTAGGCGCTCGTTTTTGGAAGGAACTTTGTCACGTTGGGAAGTCTCAGCTTGCAAGCTGTCAGTGAATAGGTCATCTGGCGATTTTTTACTTGGGTGGCAATGAACGACATGTCAATAGTTTCCAGAATAGCGACAGGGATGATAATATCAAAGTATGCCGTGCCAGGATATGAGAAGAGTGCCGCGCCTCGGTCCCAGGGTTGTCGGAGAACGGTGGCATCCACTGACCCCGTCCTTCTGCAGATAATACAACCTGCGTGAAGAGTGTTTACTTTTGCTCCTAGGAATACGATACCATCTTCTCTATGCCTGGTAGTTGACTGGAGAAAAAGGGACAAAGATTGCAAGGTGCAGTTGACTTGCAGCCCTTCTCGAAACATTTTCTTCAGGTGATGTCCCACTTTTGTTAAGCGCGTGAACTGTATTGTGATATGGATGATGTACATATCTCAGTGACTCTACCATGGGAATGAAGTGATTGAAAAACACGGAGTCTTTCAGGTCAATTGCGTCAAATTTTGTCTGTTGTCCTACATCGGTGCCATAGTTTTTGGTTAAACCGAACAACGATTGGACAAACCCCAAAACAGTTTGCCGCTTGGGAGCTTCTGGGTTCGTCAACAGGTGTGAAGATGATAGTGTAAGAAAGTCGCTGGCCTGTCGCGTCTTTTGGGGAGGGAAAAGGCTCATCGTGTCTCCGATAGATAATTAAGGCGTATGAAGTAGGATGGCCATTTGTTTATGCTTTCATTGTGTTAAAGGAGAAATAAAGTTTTGGCATAAACAAATGTTAAATACTGGATTAAATATCCATATATGAGAATTGTTGGGGTAGTTACGATTATCGTTCTCCTCATCGCAGTGAGTCGATGTGTTGGTTGGAATTAAAGGCTGCACGGCCAGTAAATAATCATGACGAAGAGTTAACTGTTCGAAGCGCCTCAGGCGGTCGATCGCCCGGTTCAACGATGCCTGGAAGGTTCCGCATGTCCCTGTCATAAACAGATACGGACAGACGAACAAATTTTCTGACGTTGCCATTTTTTCCTCGTCTAATAGTACCGGTGTCGGAGCTCTCCTTCGACTGGAGTAGAGCTGGTGGTATGGTGGTGTCCCATCAAAAGGTCAGGTAATGGCTCTTGGACCACAACCAAAACATGTGCCACTCTAAACGATACTTTGTATTTGATATGGTCCCACTGGTCCCAGTACACACCGTCATCCTCCTGGAACATTTCCTTTCTTCTACTCCGTAACGAAGTAGACACTCCAGGTAAACAAACACGAATAGGATGGGTCGGCCACATCAGTCTCTGAGGCTCCTCCCGATGTCGTCTTCAGCCAAATATTGCAAGTCAAAGTTATCAAGCCGCCGGCACGAATAAATCATTCCGAGAAACAGATATTCGTTTGGAAGGGAATTTTTTCCCTTCTTTTAAACATCCATGGTTCTAGCAAAACCCGCTAGTTGATATGCTGGAGTAGTCCACATAGTCATTCATCGGTAGCCATAAAGCTTTGATCGTAAGGAACTGCTTTTAAGTAGTTCATGGATAGAAACGTTATCTTAGAGAATGAACAGAGGAGGGAAGATTTCGAAGAAAATTCGGGATACAGAATTGTTTTTGTGCGGCGTCGGCGGTACCTGTTTTGGAAGCGGCATCTCTCCGATATGGGCATACGTAAACATGAAAATGGAAGAAGATCTTGAAGATTTTACAGAAACTTTCTGCAGTTTTCTGTTTTGAATAGTGTGTAACGAGAATCTGATGCCGACTGTTTCTTTACCGGCCCTGATCGACGAACAAGAATACGGAGATGAAACGTGGTTCAGGCAGTAACCACAGAATAGAGAGATATTGGAAAACTGTCCTATGTGTATTATCCAATTTTTCGTAAGGTTTAGACCGAAAGGACAAGTTGACTATCCAGCTCATTTGATATTTAAGACTGTCAAAGTCTTGTAACATTGATACACAGATCTACGCAGTCCACGCAGGTGAACAGAGCTCTGAGTGGCTAGGAGATTACAGATAGCGGTATGTAATACAGCGTCAATACAAAATTACCTGCTCCAAACCCTAACTTTCCCAAAACGCGTGATATAAGCATGAACATCACAAAATTATTTTTTATTTGTATACGTAAAAGCCACTACTGCCATTATTATTATTCATAATATTAATTAATCTCATACTTCTCTATACTCTTTACTGAACCCTGAAGAAAAGACAAGACGGCGGGGCCCGGCGCCGGCGGCGATTGGCAGAGGCGGCGCCGGCCTAGGGGCGCGGCCGTTACTGCGGGCATCGGAGGTGGCCGAACCTCTGCTGCGCTTAGATATGCCTATCGCTGGCTGCGGCGAGCTTGCTCTCTCTCGCTCTCTCTCTATTCTCGAAACGCATCATACGATCGATCCTGGCGTAGTTGCATGCGACTGGCCACTCGGAAGAGCCCATCTAACACGGTTCAATATTAGCTACGGTAAGGCTAGGCTCTCTACTTCCCCACGTCTTGTCACCTATCATTGGACGGCCGCCGCGAGATAAAGCTCCATGGTGATCTATATAGCTTGCTTCTAGCCCTCCGCTTTGGAATCTTTCTATCTCTCTCTCTTTTTTATAGAATACATAACTGACCGTCGCTCGCATTGCAGCGTTATTGTTTTCAAAACTTGAAACTTATTTCAGCTCGTTTCATTTGCTTATCATGGCTTCCAAGCTCGGTGCTGCCCGTTACGGCAAGGACAATGTCCGCGTTTACAAGGTCCATCGCGACCAGAAGACTGGCGTGCAAACTGTCGTGGAGATGACCGTCTGCTGTCTTTTGGAAGGAGAAATTGATACCTCGTATGTGGTTTTGTTTGTTGCCACGCTTCTCTATCTCTGCTAACCCAAGGAAACCCGCAAAATAGGTACACCAAGGCCGATAACAGTGTTGTTGTTGCCACAGACTCGATCAAGAACACCATCTTTATCCTCGCCAAACAACACCCAGTGACCCCTCCAGAGCTCTTCGGCTCTATCATCGGCTCCCACTTTATTGAAAAGTACAGCCACATCCATGTCGCCCACGTCAACATCATAACCCACCGGTGGACTCGCATGACCGTCGACGGCAAGCCGCACCCGCATTCATTCCTGCGCGACGGCGCCGAAACCCGCAATGTCCAGGTCGACGTGACCGAGGGTAAAGGTATCGAGATCGCGTCGAGTATCGCGGGCTTGCACGTGCTCAAAAGCACCGGTTCTCAGTTCTGGGGCTTTGTGCGCGACGAATACACAACCTTGCCAGAGGTTCGGGATCGCATCCTGAGCACCGAGGTTGACGCCACATGGAAATGGAAGCTCTTTGCCAACCTGAGCGAAGTCCAGGCTGACACTGCCCGCTTCGACAATGCCTGGAGTGCGGCCCGCGAAATCACTCTCAGCACTTTTGCCAAGGAGAACAGCGCCAGCGTCCAGGCAACCATGTACAACATGGCAGAGATGATCCTGGGTGCTGTGCCGCAGGTTGAATCAGTGGACTACTCGCTGCCAAACAAACACTACTTTGAAGTTGGTACGTGAATAATTTCTCGCACGTTGTTCGCTACAAGTTTATAGAGAACTAACATCACTCGCAGACTTGAAATGGCACAAAGGCCTCAAAAACACCGGTGAAGATGCCGAAGTGTATGCACCTCAGTCCGGTCCGAACGGGCTCATCAAATGTACTGTAGTCCGGCCCTCTTCGGCGAAGCTGTGAGAGTCTGTTTTTTCCCCGTGATGCATCTGTCTGTAAGGAGTAGCTGGCGTTGTGAATATTTTTTACTGGCAATACTATTAAGATACATATCCAAATACTGAAATAAAACGGTTGTTCATATATGTGCTTGTAATATACAGTGTATTGCCCGACGCGAAGGGAAAATATCAGATCCATATTGATACAGCGCATAGTACACAATGTTGTTAAAAGAAATAAAATTCCAAAGACTCCGGCCATGCGCTTAGAGAAAGAAATACAAATAGTTGTGGACACGATTAAAATCAATTTGCAGTGGGTGCTGGGCTCTCTGCCACGGGCTTTTGTTCCTTGAAAGCTGCCTGGACTTGTGGCAGCTTACCAATGACCGATCTCCCGTTGATTTTGATGATGTTTTTCTTGTAAGGGTGATCGAGGCCTTCGAATGCTATAAGATAAAAACGATTAGCCAATTGAATTGGTTCCGAAAGAATGTAACAAACTCACTCTTCAACCTGTCCAGTCTCTTATCCCGCAGACGGTTTTTGGGCAGCATGCCTCGTACAGCTCTCCGCAACACTTCACCACCGCCCCATTTCTCAAACATCTTGTCCATGGTCATACTCTTCAAACTACCGGGACGAGTGTTGTGCGTGTAGTATTTCTT